CTGCGGACAGCGTGCTTCGCAAGGAGGGCTAATCGGCAGGCCGGTCACCCGGCAGGCCGGTCACCCGGCAGGCGGCGGGCACTCCGGCCTCACCTGTCAGGGGACTTGCTCCTCGGCTTGACCTTCTGGTGGCTGCTGTCTGAGACGCGATCCACCCCGGCGAGGGGACAGCTGGCCTGGGAGAGGCCATCCGAGACACCAGAGTAGGTGATTTCCTCATAAAGGGGGGCGGAAGGGATGGCCGGGGAGGTGGCCCGGAGGCCGTTGAGCGCCTCGAGCAGGGAGATGGGCTCGTAGCCAGGCGGGACGCTGTCCGAGCCCTGTGGGGACAAGCTCCGGTGAGGACGGGCTGGCCGGGTCCCTGCCCACTGGCCAGGGCCACCGAGACCTGACCGGGGCCTGCCCCGTGGCTGCTGTGCCCCCCAGGCCCGCTGTGTGCCCACCTTCCAGGGCCCCACGGCCCTCCCCAAAGGCCCCAGGAGTCCGAAGCAGCGGCCGGCCCTGCACAGGCTCCTTCGACCGCCAGCTGGGCACACAAGCCCCCAGGTGGTGCCCAGGAGGGCAGACGGGCACCCCAAGCCTCCAGCGGCCCCGCCTGGCTTGCTTGCTGTTCCTACCTCGGCGGGGCGGGGGGGAGGGGGGGTGTAGCGAGAGGAGACCCGGGAGCAGGGAGCAAAGCCATGCCAGGTGAGAACGGGGCGGTGGCACTCCAGGCCAGGCAGTGACCTACGCAGCAGGGGGGACAGCACCCGAGTCTGACCCACACTGCAGCCCTCCTGGGGTGGGGCCAGTCACCCGGCCCAGCCCGGCCGGGTCTGCAGGGTGCTGGGCTCCCCGCAGAGAAGGGCAGGGCGCAGGCCCGGGCCCACCTGGCCATGGAGGTGACCAGTGGCGATGCGCGGTCAGGGCGCCCTGCCCAGCGCCCCGTCGTGTGTGCTCCCCCAAGGCCCCCCACAGGCGGAGACCACGCTGACCCTCGGCAGAGATGCCCTCCCTCCGGACTCGTGACGTCCAGAGCGTCCCAGGACAGGACACGGACCCGGGCGGGCCGCCTAGTCAGCCGAGGCCGAGGCCGAGGCCTCCGCTGTCCGGCCCAGTGCGAGGACCAGGCAGGGACCGGGGCGAGCGCACACCGGAGCGCTGCCCGGGCCCAGCAGCGGGGCCAGACACCTCCATCCTCTCCACTGCCAGCAAGAAAAAAGGGGAACAAGGGCGTTTGGGGGCCGGGGGCAGAAGCAAAGCCGGTGAGGGCGGCCTGCGGCAGCGCGCTGTCCCTGCGGGCCGGCCACACAGCCGACGCTTCCGACTCCCCTCTGGGCGGGCGCCGGGAAAGGAGAGCAGACTGGACAGGTCAAGGCGCGCACAGGAGCCCCAGGAGAGGACCCCAAGAGGAGGGCGGGCGGGGCGGGCCGACACACTTACTGGTTCCCTTTTAGGTTTCTTGCTGGCCAGGGAGGCGGGGTGCGACTTTGATTTTTTAAAGGGACACTGTCAAGATAAAAACCAGATGTTTGACAAGTAGCGCCCCATGGGGCGCGCTGGCCCTGCTCTGCGGGCATGAAGGCCTGGCCCCGCGAGGGCTCTGCTGGGGGGCGGCGCCCCACTGCCACCCACCACGTCTGGGTCACCTCGAGCAGCAGGCCGCGCTGCCCCTGGCAGCCCCACAAGCCGGCGGCTGGCCAGCTCCTCCCCGCGTCTCGCTCCCGGAGACGGCGGTGGGGAAGCCAGTCCCCAGCCCCCCACTCGAGAAAACAGCTCATCTGGGCTCTCTGTTGCAGCGGGGAGACGGCTGGGGGGAGCAGGTGGCAAGCAGGCCCCTCCCCGGGGACCGCGACCCTCGAGAAGGTGTGGGGGCCACGCCCCTGGGCTCTCTGAGAACAGGGGGGCCGTGCGGGGGTCCGGCTCGGCCCCACACCACAGGGCAGAAACGGGGGGTGAGGGTGGCGGAAAGACCCACAAGACCTGAGCGTCCCGCCCGGTGTGCCCGGGAGTGGGACTCAGGGGGACTGGCGGGTGGACCCTGGGCCGGATGGGCCAGCCTGCGGGCGCCACGAGAGCACACCCCGAGGCTCGCACGCAGGGCAGAAACCTGCAGCGGCAGGGACCAGCGGCAGGGACCTGTGTCCGAGGGCTCCCAGGAGCCACCGAACCCGGACAGCCTCCACCGAGGCCTGGCTGCCCGTCCGGCCGGCCGCCCCTCACTCTCCAGCGCCAGGCCCGCCGAGCCCGTCTCTCCGCTTCTCAGCCTGCCCGCTCCCTTCCCACCCGGTGTCTCTCCCTTCCGGCCGCCACACCGCCCTCTGCCCATCTCTCCGACTCCCTGGGGGTCTGCTCAGGGCAGCCGTGGCGATGCTGTGGCCGACGTGCCCAGGGTCTTGCTGTTGGCAGCAGGAGCTGCAGACAAGGCCCCGTGCCGGGGCCACGAGCAGACAAGAGCAGAGGCCCAGGAGGCGCGGGCAGGGCTGCGGGCCTGGCACAGCCGTGCTCCAGCCCCGGCTCCCCCAGAACCCCACCGCTTGCCCCACGCCCTGACAGGGGTGCTCACAGAGTGCTCGTCATGCTCCATGCTCTGGGCCAGGACGGGGCTGAAGGAAACGGGGGACAGGGCTCCTGGCTTCTTCCGCACAGCCCGGATCTGCAGGAGGGCGCGGAAGGCTGCGGCAGAGGGGGTTCACGTCAGGCCAGGGGAGCCAGCTCCGGTCCCACAAGGCCCCCAGGCTCCGGGCACACGGAGCCCCAGCAGCACCCGGGCCAAGCCCCGTTTCAGAACGGAGCCACTAGCAGCCGCCCGGGAAGGAGCTGGCCGAGTCAGGACCCGCTGCCCACTCAGAACAGGCTTCTGGGCGGGGGCCGGCCTCACGCA